GTGTTAATCACCCCAGCAGTTTGTCCACTCATTACTGCAGGAAGTATTTGCCACTATTTATTGGCTCTTGGCCAAACTGTCAAAGTCCAGCAGATAATTTCTAATCTTAAATATTAAAACTGTGCATTAAATCTGGTTTCATGTCATTTGCTAAGGGCTTTCTCTGTCAAAACATCCTCTGAGTTAGGCCAAGACAGAATAATCCTGGACAGCAGTAAGTGTAGTTTTATACTGGTTTTGAATATGTTTAAGAGGTTAAACACATCTAATAATCTTAGCAAACACTTCTAAGTTTCTCAAGCAATCAAGGCCTTCAGACAGTGAAATTTTGTTAGCAAAAAAGGTCCATTGATGTATGACACAAAAGTAAAATGAAGTAGCTTTCTGTTGACCAATGCAGCCAATCCATGTGATCAGCTTGAACCCCTGCATTGGGAAATCTTTTGCCTTCATGTGAAATTCCCAATCATGTGAATAACTATTAAAATGACTGGATCACATTTATCACTGTTCACAGAAATTGATCCAGTCATTTTAACCGTATGATTAAATGTAACCGCACATTTAATCTAAAACGTATTTTAATCTGACAACCTTTCAGTCTAAACTATTTAAAGTAAGGCAGTAATGTTCAACATGAAAGTAGCCAACATCAAATTCATCAGTCGTGTTCATACTCTTTCCCTCCCTGAAATAGCAGTTATTTTCCTATGAGAAAGAATTAGCACATCTAGTACAAGAATCTTCAACATTGGGTCCACCAATTACTGTTTGAGCTCCAACTAATTTTGAAAATGAATAAATAAGAGTAAAAATAAGTTAATGTTTCATTGTCCCACCAGCAGTGTTGAGGAGTAACTAGTTACATGTAATGGAATTACGTTATTAAATTAGAAAATAAATGTAACTGTAATCTGTTATTAGTTTACAGTTACATTTCAGTAACTGTAGATCTCAAAGTAAATAGAGGCGCTAAAGTCTTGATTTTGTGGTGGTTGCGCTTTATAATTAAAAGATTATCATCTTAATTAAAGTGAAGAAGGATTCTGAAAGTCTGACAGTAATCAGTGTTGAGCGCTTCTGTAAGGTTAACCCGGCCTGCTTTAAATGTTTCAAAATGATTAACAGTTGAAAACATTCATTAGAAATTTAGAAAAGCAATCAAAAAGTAATGAAATGTAATCAGATACATTACTTTAATAAAGTAATTGAAATAGTTACACTACTTATTACATTTTAAATAGGATAACTTGTAATCTGTAACCTATTACATTTCCAAAGTAACCTTCCCAAGACTGCCCAGTAGCATTTTTCATAGAAATTTAAATACAAGAAAATTAAAATTAAATGTGCACATATTTGTCTCTTTAAATCAATATAAATTGAGGGGGGTGGGGTGAATATCCAGCACTCTCTTCACCTTCAAAACCACGACTGAGGTGAGACTCTTGAGCAAGGCACCGAGCCCCCAACTGCTCCCCGGGCGCCGCAGCATTGGCTGGCCACTGCTCCGGGTGTGTGTTCACAGTGTGTGTGTGTGTGTGTATGTTCACTGCTGTGTCTGTGCACTTGGATGGGTTAAATGCAGAGCACAAATTCAGAGTATGGGACACCATACTTGGCCACACGTCACTTCACTTTATGCCAGCACTCAACAACTATTAAGTTTAGATGATCCCAAATCAGTTAGATCAGGTGACTACTTGTGTTTCATAAGAGCTCTAAAGGGCAGTTTCCAGTTCCCTTCATGTCTGGCCACAGCGATCTCTTTTCTGCGAAATCATCACAAATGAACAGAAATGTCCATTTATTTGGGTGGCAGATAAGGTGTCAGAGGCTTGCTACATGCTGGTGCAACTCAGATAGGCCACAATCTTGTTTTTATCTGCTAACATGGCCTAAGCAGTCACAAACACCCCCAACCCCACCCTAACCGGGAGTCTGTCTCCTGAGTAACCGCGGGGGGGCTACTCCCATGTTAGCCAATAGACCTTTAACATCCAGATGCTGAGGACAACTACAGATGTAGAATCAAGTTAATTTGTCACAACTCACACATGGGTATGAGAACAGACACCCAGAGGTGATTTCATCGGTAGTCAATCAACAACTGGCCACCATAATCCGTGAATTTGGCATCTGTTTATGCATTTGCAGCATAATGTCATGAAATCCATTTCAGCGATTTAAATCTTGTATAGAAATTGAATAAAACGTTGTCCTTTAGTAATACGTTTTTGCAAACCCCTCATACAGCCTCAAGATGCACTTTTCTCCTGTGGTATTATTAACTACTTATGCAGGTTTTAGTATGTGTAATTTGGAATCTTATTGTAATATGCACTTTTGGCTATAGATAAAAGCTAAAGAAACTAATATGACTAATATGATGTCTTTGGATCTTTCAACCAACTTTTTTTGGTAAAATTTCAAGTTTATTCCAAGGGTGGGAGAGTTTGGGTGTGGGCTCACACTCGCGTGAGAGCGAGACCCGATGCTAAGTAACTGTTCAGGGTCTGATATAGGGAACCATTCTGATTGGTCAGCAGACTGAAGGGCAAAGACATGATAAGGATGGAACAGCCTTTGTGTCATCATATGCAAATGAGCAGCGTGCATTAAAACTCACGAGCAAGGGAGCAATGTTTACGATCGCTTAACGGCATGGAGACGACAGACTTGTGAAAACAAAAGTGAGAAGACGGGTAAAGGTGACAGATGAAGCCAATTAAATTGTTTTTCAACACTTACTGCAGGAGTACTGAAGACACAGATCTAAAGGTGAGTGTGTCGGCCGGTGACTATGAACTACAGGACGGCAGCTGCTCTTCCTTTTAGATGAAAAGTCCCATGTGAGGGATCTTCCACAGGTGTGATCATCTGAAGAGTTGGGAAGAGTTTCTACAGGAAAACCTTTTGGAAACATAAATGAATCTAACAATTTAGACCACGTTGAATTGATAATGATGCAACAGATCTGGAAAACTATACAGTTTCTGGAAATTGCTTTGGAACATTTGAAACATTGACAAGTCAAATATCATTTTAGTTCTTTAAAAATAGGCTGACAATGTTCTAGATCACAGAAAATGTTAAAAATAGTAGATGTGAATGTTCAGTGGATTTCCAAAGTGAAGGCGTTTCATAAGTCTTGACCTCTAGACAGGATATCATTGTATACTGTAAGTTCATTATTGAGACACTACAGTATAGATGATGTACTTATCCAGGGGGTCAACACGACCTCCAACTGTTTCCTGCGGACCCGCAAACATTGTGACAGAGAGTGGCGGTGAAACCGTTACCATTACTAAGTTTAGTAATGGTAAGGGTTCTGCTGCCTTCTCTCAAAAATCATCTGGATATGATGGGACTTCAGAGCAACGGATGGCGCAGTCAAAATCAGATGAGTGAACGGATGGACAAAAATACCAGAAAGACCAATGTTAAGCAGATTTGAAATTCTGAATCATTTGTATTCTATACAACTTTATAGCCTATAATGTGTTATATGAGATTGCCATTGTGTAATTTAAATAAATGATCACTGAATTGAAATTAACAATTTTTCTTGTTTTGTTTCATTATTTGCAATTATTTTTACAGAATCTACTTTTAACTATCATTTTACAGAGAAAGGCAGCATCTGCGGTTGGTAAAATACTTACTTGTACTTTTAGGAGCCAAAGACCTGATTAATAAGAATCTTTGCTTTAACTTTAATGAACTTACAATTAACTGATACAGACAATGGAATAAAAGTAATGGCCAGTATAAGGATATAGAGAAAGAACCAGGGACATATCATTGCTTTAGGCCAGCTAGAGGTATAAGCATATCATTCTTCATGGAGTTCTACTGCAACTTTGAAACTCACTTTAGCAGCAGGTTAACTGCACTTTCCATTCCAAAGGTTATCCAACCCTCTAGGGTCTAGGCAGTGGAACTTTAAATGGGTTTTTACATTAAACCGGCAGTTTACATTATTTACGTTTTAGTTTTACAAAAAAAATTACATTACATATATATATATATATATATATATATATATGAG